GCTGGTTGCCACCAGGGCTCAAAATAACTGCCAATCAATGAACAATGTCAGGCCAAGGTTACCATTTTGTCTGGACTAACTCTTGGTTTGCCAGTCATTTTGAGTGGATATGTACACTGCTAATGGATTTGAATTTACTTATATTTTTTCTTTTTAAGCTACTATGTTTAAATTATCCTCCTGTTTTAAATCTTCGTAGTATTTTTAATATTTTGGACATGACCCCTCAAACAACAAACTTAACCGAACTGATTTTCTTTGGCTGGTCAGAATGACCAGCAACAGTAAAAAAAAATATTTTTCTTTTTACCCAGACTACTCAGTAAAGACATAATTGCTGTAGTTTTGTACCCCATGTACATTTCGCACTTTTTGCATGTATAGCTCTACTTTAGAAACTTCTTGGCTCTATTGAAATATTTGGCTACTACTTGTAGCAAACTACTTGGTTTCAGACTATGCAAGACTGCCGCAACCCTTGATTTTTGGAGCTTTCTTTTTTTCTCTGAAAGGGTGTGGTTTTCATCAATGAATATTGCATCAAAAATGTCTTGTTAAGTCCAAGTTGCATGCTTGTCACAAACATTTTCCATTTTACATGGGTCATAGAGTTTTTCATCCGTTGGTATAGTGTCTGATGAGAGCCTCGTGGAATTGTAGGAACAGTGTGCTAAAGCATATTTGATATTTTGTACAAGAATGAATAAGCTACAAGAAAATGCACTTTAAAAACGTTATAGACGCCGACACCACCTTATATCACGGCAAAACTGTACCTTGACTGAATTCTGAAAAGGTGAAATATTGTTTTTAAAGGCGTTGTGTTGATCGCTTCATTAAAATCACAGCACCGTTCCGATTTGTGCCATCGTGCCTCAAACCCAAACAACAGTCTTCGTTGTGTTGAGTGACGCAGAATTTGAAGGCCTTGGGCGAGCAAGATGTCGCAAATAGCCGTCACAACATATCAAAAACATTGCCCACAAATGAGGACATCTGCTCTTCAGTGATCGTTACATGGAGTGTATGCTAAAGAGCGTGCGCAAAGGTATTACGTTTCACCATCACAAATGAACATGGGCGATCGACCGAAGCGAATGTCATGTCTTCCACAGCGTTTTGTGGAAGAATTCTGTCAGCTCCGTGAAAAAAAAGATGGAGAAAGTGGAACGAAAACCACAAAACAGACAGGGATTTGTATTTTGTTGAGGTTGTTGAAGTGGATACGACGCGAAAACAGCTAATATATAGATTTAGCCAGGGCTAAAAGCGAAGCTCCCATTAATAAATTTATATTTTAAATCAAACAATTATCTTATAATCCACAAATCAGTTAACTTAAGGGCACATTCATGTGACTTTTGGGGGAAAGGATAAGTTATTTTAGAGTGAAACATCTTACATCGAGTTGATAGCCTAAATATACATGTATGTACACCCAAAAAATAGCAAACATCTTCTATCACATTCAAGAGCCATAATGGCTCTTGATTACGGTAGATTAGGCCTCGAAAATAAATTCTTGGAAAACAAATCAGGCCGCATTTTTTTGCGTTCGACAGGTTTACTTTACAAATTTTTGTCAACAAATCTGAGGGTGTGTAAACCAACCTTTTATACTTTTTATACATCACATCTGAGGTGAAACAGTACTTTTTATCATACAGACCTCGGACAGAATACGGCATTATATTTTCACAATTTTTCAATGTTCAGGACGATCAATCGTGGGCTTTTAGCGAAACCGTTCAAAAAATTTCCAAAATCACCCATACGGCCAGCCGGTTCTCATTTTTGAATGAACTTTAATGGAGATACGCTTCAACATAATAACGAATTTATTATCATTAGTTTTTTGTTATTTAATGGTTCCAGTTATAACGATGTGTAATCTTATAAAGCGTTTGATACGCGCGACATTTCTAAGTACTCCTGCGAGCGATGTTCATGAACGATGAAAACAAACACCACGAACAAGCGATTAAAATTGCAAGAGAGACTACTAACAATCAATAAAAGAAATATAATTCGGTAAAACATTTACAGAGACAACAATTTTCATTCACGAAGACAAGTATTAAGGTGTCTCTAAAAATCCTGAGTCTTTAAGCTTAAAGCTTAAGCTTAAGTTTATTTTGTTTTACTTTCAGCCGGCCTCCGGGTTTTTTTTTTTTTTTTTTTTCAAAGATGAACTCCTCCAAGCAAGAAAATCACTCAAAGTTTTCTTTCTACAGCCAAATTTATAATTAAATATTCTTCGGAACGTTTTTTTTTCTATTTGCCGTGAGAAAATATATCTGAAGGCCTTTTAAAGTTCTGTAAGCTTATATCAAACCTGATACTAGATCAGATCATTGACTCAAATCTTAACAAACGTGCAAAAACTTGCCGCATAAACTGTGCTCGACTTCATGAAATTAGATAAAACAAAAACAAACATCAAATACAATAATTAGTCAGGCTTACCATTCGAGATTCAGTTCCTGAAAGATATCAAGGAAGGCCATGGTTGCTTGAGACTTTTAAACCCTCTTACGCATTGAGCAAGGTGAAAGACGAAAACGATGCCATCCGAAATCGGATTACCCAATTTTGACAAGCGACGCATTTCTCAACCAAAAGCCCAATAAACAAACCAGCCATGGATAACAGAAGACTCTTGATAGTAGCTATATTTCATTTTGTACATCCAGTGGAAAAAGACAGTTAAAAACATCACAAGTTGAGAGAAAACTCTGTCAGCTTTAGCTGTCAAAGTAAACAACTTTCAAGATGCTGCATAAATTTTCCGCATGAACTCACCTGTCAAATTTTGGCCAATCAGAGTACAAAAATTGGACGTAGAGCGTGACCAACGCGTGACCATGGTAAGAAAAGGTCTTCCCCGCCTTTATTCTGAAAAAAGTGGCTGAATTTTCGCGTCCGAGGTCAGTTTGAAATCAAAATCTTGACAGTGCGGGGCCATAGTGACAAAAACACAACATATTTCATATGAATCATTGGAAAAAATAGACTTGAGCCTGCTATCATTTGAAACTGGTAATTTGTCAGCGGATAACTTCAAAAAAGTACTCGACCTCGATGGGTCGACACTTGAGCCCGCTGGTCAGCGGATATCCTGTTTTGACAGCTGTCAATTGATCACAACATTGATGTGCAATTAGTTTTCTATTGGGCTCCCAAACTAGCCAGAAAGTGTGAGAGTAAACATTGGTTTCCCTGTGGTGCGGACGGACGGTCGGGCGTACGGTCACGTGATTACCAAATTTTCTCGGATGGGTAGATTACCACATTTCCTTAGCTATGGAGCTCCGTCCAGGCGCGCGCTTCGCGCGCTGGTGGAGCTCCGCTAAAAATTCATTTCGTGGGATTCAGTCACGAATACGATGAGTGGCGTGATTACGATAATAAAAGGAATTACTTTCCCTTCGTTCGCTTGGAAAAAATGTTTTTCCCTGAGGAAGGTTGGTTGGAGGATAGAGGCAACATTTACGGGCAACTGTATCGTTGCCTGATTCCTTCAATATCTTCTCAATTATGTGTGCAAGAGCAGATTCTCTGGTCTCTTCTTCGGCCTTTGAAATGCTATAAATTAAAAAGCTGCGGGAATAAATAGAAGAAACGAGGAATTATGAAACATCCGAAAATTTAGAAATCGAACTGTTTGAAAATATAATTAAGCTCCTATTAAAATATTCATCATCACTTCAAATTACTTACTTGTTAATCTCGTAAGTATACGAAGGACCGTTCTGCTGGCTGAATTTCTCACCATTTTCGCCTTGAAAATTATCTTTAACTGCAGAAACCGTCACGGCACAAGCGAAGAGAAGAAAGAGAGCAAGATGAACCTTCGAAGTCATTTTGCCCCACCGAAATCTGCACGAATCCCAGCAAATTACATATCAAAACGCTGCAAATTAATTCAACTCTTTGAATTTGGCGGTGCATTTATTATTCCGAGCATGCTCTGTCGAGCCAGTCCAGTTTTCCTCGACCCGCTGCTTTCAAGACCGGTCACGCTTTTATAAATTTACATCCAAACCGACGGAAAAAAATATAAAAGTGCCCCATTGAAATCTTGACAAAATATATCCCAAGTTTTTCACCACTAGTAGCTTAGATAGCACTTAGTTCCATACCGGTGGTGCATTTGTGATAGATCTCCTACTTTGAGAAGGAAAGGCAATATTCTGCAGAAAATAGCGAGTTTTAGCTCTATTTTACCGGAAGTTGAGGCCACCTGATGTGACATAGGGAAAATGATGAGTGTACCACATGGCCACTGTAAATTTTGATGCTATCATTCCAAAATTTTGTTCTGAATTTCCAAATCCCATTTGCAATTTTAGCTTTTATTGCGTTTTTTTAAAAGTTTTTAATTTGTTTTTCATGAATATTTTCTGGTCTTAAATTCTGCAATTAGGTTTCTTTTAATTCGTGATCGACCTTCCGTTTGTTGCCTCAACGCCCGGTCTTTTCCTGCATTTCTGTTGATATGTTGTTAGCCTCCTGTATTTAGTCTTTTTCATTCCGTAAATATCTTGCCTCGTTTGAATTTTCGCATTTTGCATTCTGTAATTTTGTTGCCTCGATTTCATGTTCCTTGTTTTTTATATATTCCGTCTTTTGCTTTTGCCCCATGGGGTAAGAATTTTTGGTACAAACCTACAGCGATGCGAGAAATTTGGTTTGTGACGTCAGCGCCATCGCCAGCATAGACTCTGAAAGAAAGGGACATAACAAAAATCTTTCCTTGGAGGGAAATTGCGCGCTTTTTGTGGGCTGCATCTTATCGCTAAATGAAGTTGTTTTATCTATGTTATCTCGGATTTGTTCTGTCGAATGTCCTTACTCTATTTCTGTATTATTATTATTTTTTTTTTTTTAAAGTTGCCTCAATTTAAAGTCTGGTGCAGTCATGGCTCAATGGCGGGAAAAGGTCACATGACTTAAAAAGGCGGGAAAATTGGGAGTTTCATTCCGAATCGTCTGGCATTATGGCGGATCTGGTTCAATTGGATTATGAAGGCAAAAGTGTGGGATTGACACCAATGAATCTTAGCAAAACAACAATTGCTCGATTTTTTAGGGTGCATGAAGACGGTTTGCACCTGAAAATCGTGAAAAACGGCAAGTGCGAAAATGTATGGCCGCTATCGAACGGCAAGTTTTTATTGCCAACGGGAAGAAAAAATGCACATGTGGTTGCCTTTCCTGCTGAAGATCAAGATTTACAAGAGGATGATGATGGTGATTTTCAGGGAACATTTGGTGCTCGGTACGTATGCACGTCCTTTTGTGTTTGCGATTTATTTTTTTCTTCAATGTTTTATTTCGGTACTTTATAAAGAGGGAAATATTTTAAAAGCGCGATTTACATTTCACTTTCTTATTTTTATAATCATAAGAGCAACCTCGCATCCAATTCCTCGCCCATCAATTAGTGGCCGCAGCCGAGTTCTTAGCCCACCAGTAACTAGTGCTGGGTTTGGGAAACGACCAGCCCCTGGTTTCTCGTTTATCAAGTCTAAGAAGAAGAAACAGATGAACTTGGTGAAGGACTTCACGTTTTCTTCTCTGGATGAAGAAGGACAAATGGTCATGCTACTTCCCATCTCGATCAACCTAACTGAACTCCTCGAAAGGTTCGGGCAACTGTCGGTCTCTATTGTCTGCAGTGCTATTGAGCAGGAACTTCGAGACCAAGGAGAAGTCGTGAGACTTGTAGTTCTTGACGCTCGGGGGCAGCCGATTATGGATTCCTCCCATACAAGAAGTAAGCTGTTATATTCTGTTTATTCATTCTTCGTTCCTGCGATCCTATCAAGTTTTTGTTTTTCGGAAAAAGAAACCGTAGGCATTTTCGTACTACTTGCCTGCAATGATTCAGTCAGTTCCAAGCACCATTACCCCCGAAATTTTTCAAGCACTCGTCAGCAGGATATGTGAGTTTACAGCAGAGTGGGATGTGTACCCAGGAGAGGGTATTCGTGTTGTTAAATTTCATATTTTGCATTTCCTTGAAAAGGGAAATATATATGGTATAGTAAACAAAGAGTACATGTAGAGATGCTTAGTTCAAAGAGAAATATTTGACAATTCTAAACTTCAGGTTTTATTATATTTTTGTCACCTTTATGGCTTCGTTCATTTATGACACAGGTTTGCCATGGAGCTTCTTAGAAGAATCAAACCTTTCACAGAAAACGTTGTGTTTCATTGTTGCCCGGGTGGTGCAAGAAGACACACTGGTATTCTTGTAAGGCCCATATATATATATATATATATATATTTTTTTTTTTTTTTTTTTTTTAACCTGCTTGCTCCCCACCCCATGTTTACAGCTTCCTTTAGAAAAAAAACGACAAATACCTGATTTTAACGTAATACTTCACCATATTTTACTTCCCAGAAGAGGAATTTTGGGCATCACAACGAACATTTAGAGCCATGTCCCAACAAACTTTTCGAAAATGGAAGCCAGGGGTGTGGGCTGCATCGAGTACAGGACTCTACACTCTGGAGGATGAGGAGGTGCCAGAGGAGACATTGGTGGACCACCAACATTTTTCCTTGGAACCCACTGTAAGTTTCTTTTAAAGATGTCTAGTCACAGAAACCTCCAGTTTTTCATTACGTAGTTCATTACAGCAATTTTTCCAAGTCAAGAGCTTTATGTTAATTGGTCTTGGTTATCAGGTTTACAAACACTAGATGCTGCTGGGAAAATTATAAAATTAAACGAGACTTACCTGCAAGGTGAAGTTTAATTTAGATTCTACCTTGTCACCATGGCAGTGAGATAAGTTAGAATCTGCTTGCTAGTCCGGCTAGTGATAAGATAAGCCTTGCTATTCAAGACCAAAACTGAGGCCTGTATGGGCAAGGCACTGCACCAAGATACCTTGCAACTCCTAGAAAAAGATATTAGACCTGACATAACTCCACCAATAATGATTACAGTAAAAAGGAAACAGTTCAGTCAGGTACTGCTGGGTTGGATGAAAACTAATTTTATTTGTTACTCATTGACTTTTTGAAACAAAAACTGATTTCACAAAGTAAGTTGAAGCTTATTTCAACGCTGAATTTCAACCTGTGACTTTATAATCCTTAGGCTCTCTTTCATGCGTTTAGATGCATTTACTAACATTCTATCAAGTCTACGCTAAAATTATTAAATGAGAAATACACTGAAATTTAAAAGGAAAAAATACAACATTCTCTTTTTGATCATTACTTTTTAAAGATACACCACTAATAACTGACACTTTGTGTTCACGGGCTCGAAAAAAGGACACATTTGCAGAAATTAAAGAAATGTTTAAAGAAATAAAAGATACCCTTGAAGTAAATAAGGAGAAGAAAAGGGTGAAAGAGATTATTAAGTGTGTTATCTGCCAGTCCACTTGTACCTCATCATTATTTTTTTGTGTACCTGGGTGTGGCCAATTAATTAGTTGCTTTTACTGTGCCTCCCGTTTACAAGATTGCCCC